TTAAAATACTTAATAGATTAGAATTAAATAATAAAATATTTGATAAAATAAAATTACTCAATTAAAATCTTAATTAAATACTAAAATTATATATTACAATATAAATAAAAACATAATTAAACCGATATTATATAATACCCCCATTAGATGTTCATACAGAATGAACGACGATACAAAAAAAAAGTACAGAATTACGACGGGATCAGATTTAGTGCTACTGCTGGGCCCATCAACTAACAGACAAAAACAACTTATGCCACAAAGCTGAAAGCAACTTCACGGAATCTTACAATACAAGTGTTAAATAAGTGCTTATATCATCATTATTGATCTTAGAATAGTCTGTGTCGTCACTATAGTTGGCCACGTAAATGAATGTACCTAACCCTGTACTTCACCAACCTTGCATACTCAGACTTGGTACATAAAATGTTTATGTTTTTTGTTGGCCACAAAGGAGTGTTTACCCAAATTGCCAAACCTTAAAGCTTCTTTGTGTTGTTGATTCAAACTAAAGCATAAATGATTTCACATTTAAATAAGACTACCCGGGTACATAGGAAAAAAGAGGGAAAGGGCATGCATCTTAGCAAACTAAAGGCGTGTCTAGATTATAATTATTAATTGGCAAATCATGGTTTCTTTTATCAGCCAATAAATATTTATATAAATATATAAAGATACAAGGGTATCAAAACCCATATATACATAAAATAATTAATATAATACATAAAATAACATAGTTGAACAAATATTGGCAAATCATGGTTTGTTCGAATATTTGACAAAGTGGAAATATCATAAATTAAAACACAGAAAGTGACGCGTAGCAGAAGCAACACAGATAGATTTATAATCCACCTTGTTCAACTATGTTTTGGGGAGTTTCATCGAGTCCAAACGCCAAATAGAACAAGTCATCTTCGTTCTTTTCACCACCACTTGGCGCACACTAAATAAAGCCGGCCTCTTGTATGACCTTTCTTTCGATCTACATAAGTAGCATTAAAAATAAGTAAATTGAAAAATATATTCTTAGACACCCTTAAGTATAGACACGATGAGAGAAATTAGAATTTACCCAAAAAAAAATATTTTTATGATGGATGATATGATATGACGAAATAAATGAAATAAAAAAAAGTTTCATTCGAGTATCTGTAAATTGTGAGTGTCAAAATATATATAATCACTCTTAAATAACATTTGGCAGAAGAAAAAAAATTTTATTTCTGAAATTTATAATTTTTGGAAATTATAAATCATCATGATTGATATTTAAGAATGTTTAAATTTGTTTTATCGATCATAAATGTGTTTCGAATATATATCATCC